GGGCTTGGGGGGCCACAGGGCTGGGGGGTGCACCTGGGGGGCACAGATCTGAGGGTGAACTTGGAGGGGCAGAGCTGGGGCTGCACTTGGGATGTGTTGGGGGTTTTACTGGGGTGTGCAGGGTGTGGGGTGTCTGCGGGATGTGTTTTGGGGGTAAAAGTGGGGTGTGGGGTGTCTGTGGGAGGTGTGTTGGGGGTCAGTGGGGTATGGGGGGTTTTGGCGTGTCTGTGGGGTGTGTTTGAGGGATCAGTGAGGTGGGGGGTGTCCGTGGGGCGAGGGCTGGATCCCACTCCCAGCCATTCCCTCTCTCCCCTCAGCTCTGTGCTGTGGCATCGCAGCTGGATCTGGTATGTTGGGGGTCCCCTGGGGGTCCCCTGGGTGTGCCCCTGCTGTCCCCCGGTGACCCCTGGGTGTCCCCCTGGTGACACTCTGGGGGCGCGGGGTTAGCAACCACGGGATGCGGCAGGCACTGGGGCATGGACCACATGTAGGAGGGCTTGTACTGGGCAAACTGGGGCTGTGCTGTGTAGACTGGGCTTGTACTGGCAGACTGGGCTGGACTGGGCAGACTGGGGCTTGTACTGGGTAGACTGGGGATGAGTTGGGCAGACTGGGTCTGGGTTGGGCAGACTGGGGCTTTTCTGGTTAGATTGGGTTTGTACTGGGCAGATTGGAGATGGACTGGGCACACTGAGGCTGTACTGGAGAGTCTGAAGCTGTGCTGCACAGACAGGACTTGTACTGGGCAGACTGGAGCCATGCTGGGCAAATTCGGTCTGGGCTGGGCAGACTGAGCTTGTTCTGGGCAGACTGGGCTTGTTGGGGGGTATCTCTCATGGCTGCGCTTTAGGGGGTCTCTATGTCTCTCCCCACAGGTCCGGCTCCACCAGCACCGCCGCTGGCCCATCCCTGGGCTGGGGAGCAGTGGGGAGGGGGGTCTGGCAGCTGCCCCCCCTGCCCGGTCCCCCAACTACAGGCCCTTCTGCAGGAGGTGCGGGGTCTGCGGGGGGACCTGCGGGCTCTGGCTTTGACCCTTCAGCACCTCCTGGGGGGCTTTTCGGGGACCCCCCCTGCCACTGGCTCTCGGCTGTGATGGGGTCATGACCCCCCCAATTAGGTGACTCGGGGGCGCTGCCGTGACCCCCAGATGAAATAAAGTGGGGCTGGACACCCCCAGTCCCCCCAGTCCTGGAGCATCTTGAGGTTGTGGAGTGGTGGGATGGGGAGCATCATTTTGAGGGGGGAATGGGGGGATCAGTGGCACCTCGGGCCCATCCTTGGGCTGGGGGGGTGACCTGGGGGGTGCAGGCAGCATAGACCCTTCTTTGGCGGGGGGAGGCTGGTC